GCGCGAACCCACGAACCGAATTCCCAGTGCTCAGGGTCTAGTACATTCAAATGCGAGGACGAAGACCGCTCAGCCACCTAAAAGATTTATTTTACAGTTTCTAAAAATACAATTTTTTAAATGTTTTTTAAAATGTATTCTGTAATCTTTAATTTATAATAAAAGGGCACGTTCATGCATATTTTTGTTGTTATTTTATGATTTTAGTAATAGTGCTGTTCCGTGGCTTCAAAAAGGTTGCGAACCATTAGCCTGTCATCCAAAGTTAGGCCTATACTTTATGACTGCGTCATATTTGTAAACAAATTTAAAACGTACTCAGAAATATGTAAGAATATACATGGTGAATATCGTTAAATAAATTATATTACATAAAAATTTTTATCTCATAATTATATTTATTTTGTATAAATTACTAGATTTTCGTGTCTATCAAGTTTTGAATTTATTCTGCGATTTTATTATAATCTGATATTTAAAAGTAGACTACTAATAAATCATGAATGTATTACATCGTTTCCGGAAATATTTTAATCTTGTCTATGTTTTTACTATTTTTTTAGGAAAATCGATGACGTTCTACGTTCTATTCACATTAATACCAATCTTGCGGTACTTTGTAATGTGTGGGATTTTCGACCTGGATTGAAGGCTTTGTTAGTTTTTCCTTTTTTAGTTTTAAACGAGATAAGAAATATTCGATGCTTGCCGTATCCGGGACAACCTACCCCAAAAAGATTTCCGAAGTTGATCTCTTGGATTTAATCCCAAGAAACAATCCCAGGAATTTTGGGGGCAACCAGAAAGTAATAGGTGAGGACCGACATATGGGGGATGGACCACTCCCGAAAAGTTTCTGGGGTTTTTAACGCGTCTGGATTTGTTCCGAGGTCCTCAGAGCGGTAGGGCAACACTTTAACCACTTATTCATCCGACCGTTGGTTTGTCTGGAACACGAGTTCCATTCCTCACCACCCAGCCACCCCCAGTGTGGACCTGGCAATGGGCCTAAAAAGGTCATTTTAGTGCTAACAAGATGGAAAGAGTTTTAAAAAAATACACCTTACATAAAATATAATAAAGCAAGTATCAGATTTTATCTTTGTAAATATATTGTTTAGCAAAATAACAAATAATTAACTTAAATTTCATCATCATTGTATTTATAATTAAGTAATAATACAATAATAATATTTTAGTTTATTTGTTAAATTATTTAATTATAACTTACTTGTCGAATTTAATATTACTGTACATATCATGCAGACATAAGTAAATATAATCTATATGCTTAATGTGCTAATTAGAGCGCTAAAATTTTATTATTTTTTGAAATAATGTAATTCTTCTAGCAGTTTACATTTGGATAAAATATAAAGTAAATAGTTTAATCATTTATATAATATTAAGGATAAACAAAAATAACTTGGAAATTCAATATTAGATGTGAGTTACATTTTTTATAGACCTGCATTCTTTTGTAGATTCATAATCGCGTTTTGTTCGTTTTAGTTTATGATTCATTAATTTTCTTATTACACAGAATACGAATTCATCGACTTACATCATTAATTATACGTTCATATTATAGTTAATCAAATAAATTAGCTGGATAAATACATTATATTATGAATCATAGCCAATGGTTGATTAGTTGTTTGCAGTAATTCTAATTTATTGGCACTGTGCTGATATTAAAGATAATGTACAGTCAAACTTATGAACAACGACCACTGGCGAAAACATAAAAATGGTCGTTGTTTAGAGGTTTGAGGTTTTTTGAGAAGTCTTATTTTGAGACTTTTGGAATTTATCTAGAGAAATAGATTACACGTTATACAGTATGTACAATTTATTTCTGGAGCCTAAATAAAACTTAGAAGCACGCAGTGATTCCTACCCTTATAAAATTAGTTATTTTTACTAATAGAAAATATAATCTTTAAGAAACATTGTATGTATTTCATTTGTTCAAAAAAAAAGACTTAAAGGAGCCTGCTAAGAAGCAAAAAAAGTCCGCTCTATTCCTGGTTCCACACAAGTTCTTGACGTTCCTAAGTATATACAATATATGCAGTAAGTGTCAAAATACTCCCAAAGAACGCAGGAGACTATTTTAAAGAACTGGAAAATGCTGCAAAGCACATTTAGTACGAAAATTTTATATTTATTTGCATACTTTTAACGTTTAAGTATATAATAGCGAGGTTGCGGCCGAAGTTTTCAACGTGAACGTTCACGTTTTCGCGTTGAAAACTTCGGCTGCAACCTTGCTAATTATAATAACAGTGTATAATTCTGAACAACGTAATTATTTTATTAATGATAGTAACATACAAAAAACATATACATTGGAGGATTTTGATGCAGATAAAAATCTATCATATTTGTGAAAAAAGTACACTTCAATAATCAGTGTAGCCTCCTTTGGCCTTTAAAACCTTCCTAATGCGATCGGGCATCGAATTAATAATATTCCTGCAATTGTGCAATGTTATTTTGTTCCACTCATCTTGTACACGTTCCCATAATTGGTGGATGCTTCAGGCAAAGCTGCATAGTCAAACAAGCGACGTTTAAGAAGGAACCAGATGTATTCAATCGGGTCGAGATCAGGCGATTAAGGCGGCCATTCAAGAAAGGCTAATATTTTGATCCTGAAGCCATGACATTGCCCTCCTGGATGTATGTTTTGGATCATTATCTTGCTGATAAATGAAAGATCTCCTATCAATGTGGTAATAATCAACAGATTGTAACAAATAATTGTGAAGTATCTCAGATATCTCAGTGTAAATAACGCTATTCATTCTATTAGAACACAGCATTCCAGGCCCAAAATAGGTAATACAGTCCCAGACCATAAGACCACCACTACCAAATTTCCGTGTTGTTTGTGCTTCTCGCGAAAATGGGTATAGACTTCATTGATTTAGTTCATATCCATTTTCGCTCATCTGAACCAACTCTATTAATTTTGGACTCATCTGACCATACAATCCTCTTCCAATCTTCTAAGGTCCAGTCTGTGTAGCGTTTAGCAAAAATAAGACGTTTCTGTTTATGTAATTTGGTTAAAGCTTTCAAATTGTTACCTGCGGATAGTTGAAGTATTCACTTCTATTCCTAAGCCACGTTTCAATTCCCCTTTGTGATGATGTATCACAATGTTCACTTATTATCAAAGATTTCTGTTCTGGTGCTCAACATTTTCTTTCTGCCAGCTCTTAAATTTTCGTGATATGGTAGCTCACTATTTTGTTTTTATTCTGGATACACTCAAATGCCCAACCCAACTTCTAATGCTGTTTTCTCAAGAGAAAAACTTTTCTTCATCAGGTCCACAATACTGAGTTACTTCTCACTGGAAAGTTCTTCATGATGATACTTATCAAGTAGTTAATTATGAAGACAATACATGAAAGTAATTAAGTTAATGAACGTTACGTGGAAATGTGACATCTGTTGATCAGTTCTACAATTGTGGTAAAGAGTCAAACATGGACGACGATACGGATTTTGCTATGCTTTCTCTGCATATTATTAACAATTTCATTGTTAATTATATGCAGAGAAATTATATATGCAGAGAAATATTATTAACAATGAAATTGTTAATAATCTTTGAATTATTTACATTTTTCGTCACATCTGTATTTTCTAACTTCTTCGATGAATAATTCCAAATCTATTTGTTTTCTCATCCTTTTCGCTACATTTTTCGCCATTACGACAATCAAACTACACGTAACTAATGCACGTGACTACGCGTCACAAATCCTTGCAAACAGATCCTGTAAAAACTGTATACATAGGCCTAACTAATGGATGTGCCCTAGACGAGTATATGTGTATTTTGCTTTATACCTTACTAATATGTCAGGACCACATGGAACAAAAATTTTAAAATTTGGCAGAAATACTTCTATATAAGGGGAATTGATACTATTAAATTTTGCAGATATGTTATGTGTGTTTTTTTTTTTTTTTTTGCTCTTTTCGCCCTATGGGCACTTTTACAAGCCCGGGCGGCCGGGCGGTAAAGGACGGGGGCCGACATATTCAGTCGGATCATCCCCCGAAAATTCCTGGGGATTTTTCGACCCGTTCGGATTCGATCCCAGATCCCCCAGAGCAATAGGCTGCCACCTTGACAGCTCGGCCATCCGGCCGTCTAGGTCAAAGAGTGGGGAGATAGAAGAGGTCACGTGTCATATTTCGGATGGGGCCGGACTTAATGAAAATTTTAATTGTTCTTGGCATTTATAATATTTAAAAAACTAAATTCTACCCTCAAAATTTTGCCTTTTTGTTATAATTAATAGTAATATTATAAAAGTTTTTAAAATAAAATCTCCTAACAGCCGGAAAAGTTACGTAACTGGTTGCTAGAGTTTCTATTTATTAAAAATAACACAAGTTAAACAAGATAAAGAATTTATTGCATCATTTCGGATATTTTAAAATAAATTACAAATTTTAAAAGAACACATTCAAATATTTTAATACATAACATATTAACTTTATTCTACATTTCGCTGAATAATGATCAATTTTAATTTCCAATTTCTTGAGAAAGTTGTCGATCATCTTTGATTAATGAGAATGATTTGAAGGATGAGCATTTCTTTACGTTTAATTTTTCCATTTATTTGAAATTTTGCCAACTTTCCTGTCTTCAAATTAAAAAAAAAAAATTATTTCTTCAAACAAAAGCTATAAACTAGCATTTTGATCCTATTCTATTTAAAAATTTTTTAAATCTAAATTTTTTTGTTTACAAATAATCTATTTCGGAGTTCCATTTAATTTCAAATATGAAATACATATAAATAAGAGACAGCGTTGTAAATTTATCTAAAATATTTTACCGAATAACTCGAAAAGATACTTCTAGAAAATTTCCGAATGGTCGGTTTTCTAGAAGAAAACATTTGCGCCAATCACACAACCGCTTTGTTTATCAAAATATTCGCGCCAATCACATATTCAGTTGTATCACGCAACGAAGTTCCGCTAGGGCATGTGCGTCAATGAACTCGATTTCTGTCTACAATCTCTTCTGGAAAGTTCCTGCACTGTAATTTCTCGAAAATAATTTATTTGTTTACGCACGTTTTCTTATTTCCGATAACTTTCTAAAGGTAAATAATAGAATTTTTTTTATTTTTTAAAATATGCAAAGCTTTAAATTTTATATATTATTATTTTACGTTCTAATTTTATCCTTTACACGATCGTATTGTGTGCATTGCGTAAAGTGTTGTTATGGTTAATATTATTGGACGTCGTGAATCATCATTTTAAAAGTAACCAATGAAAATCAATATATTAAAATTCCTTGTTATTGTCGATGAGAGCGTAGTGTATCTCTAGAGAATTGTGGGTAATTCTAATTTAGAATTCAGATGACAAGTTGTCGTTTTTCGATCTAGTGTAAAGTAAGTTTTGTTAAATAAAAAACATCTTTTTATTAATAAATTGTATATTAAATTTTAACACTGACGAGTTTTGAAAGGTGTATACGTGAAATAGCGGTAAATACTTTAATTATTATTATCCAATAGCCTTATTTCATATCAGAACTATTAAATACGCTCGTAATCTTTCGATTTCGTCATTTGTTATTTAATTTCATATTTCATGTATTAATATGGAAATATTCACTAGCCATTTATAATTTGTTATGTATTTTATTAGATTGAACGAATATGTGGGTGTCGAAATGCGAATTTATTCAATGAGATAAAACTAATAAGTCTTCTCTGATCATGTTTCTTCCTCTTAATTGCGTCATTTTGCCTTTTCGGGATTTAATAACGTAACGAAAACATTAAATTGAAATCCTTTAATGGTAAATGCCGAGAAAAAGAATAAAAAAACACTAGATACTAGACATATGTAATCTTTTCATTTTTGTTACAAAGAAGACTTCAATTGCACATTTATATACAGCATACATTAAATATTATACTTAAAAATTGTAAATAGTATATTAAAATAAACAAATTTTTACATTAAAAGTCAAAAGTAGCATTAAACTTTTTCAAAAAAAAAAAAAAAAAAAAAGGCCTTGTTTTAATAGAATTATTATGAATAAACAAAACAACCTAGCCATTAAAATTTAAATATTGCTTTTTATGTTATATAGTAATATATATTGTAAATAAACATGGCNTAGTTTAAAATATGCAGAATGCCATTTGATCTCTCACTAACTTTTCCTGTTCTTACATTTCAGAACTGAGAAGAGAAAATGGCAGAATTGGACGAACGGCTGTGCCGGTTACAAAATGAATTCAAAAAATTGAGAGTCGACTCCGGAGGGTAAGTGGACCCGACGTTGATCGGACGCAATTGCCCGGGCTGACGTGCGAACTTTCCGCCTTTTCCAGGGCCAGAAGACACGGAAAGTCGCCCAAGTACGGTGCCTCGACCAGACATGGGGCCAAGGACTGCGTCCCCAACAAGACGTCGAGAAGTGCAGCCCTTCGACACCTTGCTTGCCCCGAAGCCGTCCACCGTCTCTTTCAGATTCCGGACCGTCCTACCCGGACAGACGGAGGTGCCACACACACGGGTTTTGGGAGGGAGGAAGGGAGGCCATCCAGTGGCCCGTCGGGAGCCGAGACGTCGGACGGAGGAGAAAAGAGTCGTGAGCTGACATGTTCTCGACAGGCAAGAATGGACGATGTCACTGTCGACGAATTGGCAGGATATTTCGACAATCTGGTATACATCCCGCGTAAGATGTCACACATGGCAGAGATGATGTACACGTAGAAACTGGTCCCGAGGAAATTTACAAAAAACTCTTTATTTGGAAATACATCTGTATTACAATCGTCGATAGCAATAAAATGACAATTTAAATCACCTTTCTTAAAAAATTCTATAAAGTGCCGACGACAGTTCGCTCTCCGGGTTAGCGTAGAAGGCACCTCGGATAACATAAAGAGCAATAAATTAGGACATTGTGGGCGCACGCGTGGACAAAAATACTTCTTAAGTACCATTCGTTAGTAAAGTTAAAAAAAATAGTTTTTCGGAAGGAGGCCGAACTTTTTTTTTTTTTTTTTTTTTTTGTAAAGGATAGCCAGTTACTTTGTCTGTCCTTTATTGACTTTAGAAAGGAAGTACTTTGTCCTATATTCTGGAATTAAAAGTAATCAATACAAGATTAATTTTAAAATAATAAAATTTAAATTAACCATTACTAGTATGAAACAAATAGCATTGCTTGTACAGATATATTGGATAATTGTTTAGATTTTCCTGAAAACATAAAAACTGATAAACTTCTGCTGGAGTTTGCAAATAACAATTATGTATTTTTAAAGTTGTATCTTTTGCAATGTCTTTTTAAGTTTTTCAGAAAATATGTAATAATAATAAAAATTGTGAAATTTTAATTCATTTGAAAGTTAATTCTGCCTATGTAATGCTAAAGCTAGTTTTCTAGGTATTTGCCTTGGATCTAGCTTAGGGAAATTATAGTAATTCTTTAGATCATTTTCTTTCCTGATAGTGGACATCATCATCTGTATCCATTTATGTCTTTATCCTCTTTATACTTTTTGACAGGGCTATTTAATTATATAGCATATTAAAAATGGGCAGAATTCTCAACTATTGATATTATCACATCTGGCTATCTTGTTACAGTCGGAGAACACTGCCTATGCATTGCTTTCAGCATTGCCAATTTTTTGTGTGAAAACCTATGAATGGACTTTAAATCCACCTAAAAACTGAAACAAATTCTCCCTAAATAGTTTTGTTCCATGTGCAATACATATAAAAACAAATGTCTTTTGACCATCCAAAGAAACACAAATTTTCACTTCAGGATGTAGACAGCATGGGCACAGTTGAGCAAACTGCTCCAGATCTGTCCACAAAATTCACGCATAAGAAGTTATGAGTTATGTGGCTGTTGGAAGTTCCTACTCATTGCTGAAACTTCACTAACTAATATTGATAAACTACATTTCCTCCTAAACTATTTCTCTCCCTAAATTTTCTCCATCCTGCTGATTTCCCCATAACCTAAGTTGGTACCACTGATATCCTTACTTATGACAGTACAGTCGACCCCCCCATAACACTGTTGATAATTCCATTTTATATGAATTCCATGTTGTACGAGTCACTTAGATTTTACAAATGTGTGTGCTAGGCTGTGAACGGCTCACGTATTTATAAAATCTAAGTGATTCATACAACATGGAATTCATATAAAATGGAATTATCAACAGTGTTGTAGGGGGTTGACTGTACCTATAATTGTTATCTAAATATATCATCTTATTTATAGTATTCTTAGTGTTCATTAGATCTATATTTATTAGGCTAGTTACCTAACTTGCAATTCTACGAGCATTGTTTATAGACTTGTCCAACTGCCCTGATTTTATTAAATTATTCTGCTTGACATCTGTTGTTGTTAGCTAATTGTAAGTCCAGTTAGGTTATTTTAGGTTTAATAGGTTAACTAATAATTTAGTATAACTGAATCCAAAATGTAATATTCTAAAGCAAGGGTCACCAAACTTTTTTAACCATCGACCCCCAATCACTTTCCAAAGCCTCACATTGACCCCCACCGTAAAGTTTTATTACAAGTGTATGTGTATGAGCGAAAAAAAAAACGCTGTGGTCTCTGTCTAAGCAAAAAAAAAAAAAGGTTGTGACCCCTTAGCCACATCGACCCCCTAGCCGCATCGACCACTTTGGCGACCCCTGTTCTAAAGTGTAAAGTGGCGGTGTGGAACACTTAATTCAAATATTGTCTCAATGGATTAAGTTACAATGGTCAAATGAAAAATTTCTAATATTCTTTATTCAAGCTTTGCAAACTTGGCAATCTTAGTTTCAATTCATTTACATTCAAAAGTATAAATTACTTTCAATGCTATTGCCTCACTTAAAATTGATATGCAGGCAGGGCCAGTTTTGGACTGTTGGCTGCCTATATTTGGCTACTTCTATCAATGCTGGTTGTGAGTAAATTCATAACCTAATCCAACCCATAAGAACGTACTGGTATATTTATGACTATTTCATATAGTTTACAGGAATTTTAAAAAATTTATAAAAGTATTATAAAATATACATATATAAAATTAAAATAAAAAAAAATA